ATATATAAAAAAAAATATATATATATATATATATATATATATATATATATATATATATATATGTATATATATTTATTTATTTAAAAATCAAAAAATTATATCAACCGATTGGTCTCCACCACATCACTCAAACTGGACTGTTTTAAGTAAAATAAATATTACAAAATGACAGTCATATCCCTGCAAAAACATCAAATATGTTATAATGTCTGTCTATGGGAGTGTGTATGCCCTGTGTGTGTTTGTGTGTGTGTGTCTTTGAGTGTTTTCTGCACTGGGGTAATTCTGTAGTCTCAGCCCTTCGTTTGGGTATAAATCTTTACTAGATTGTCTCAGATTTAGTATATTAAAAAAAATCAAATGTAATAAAAAATGCAGTTTTCTCGTAAATTCCATTCTTTCCTATGCGTTGGGGTAATTCTGTAGTCTCAGCCCTTCGTTTGGGTATAAATCTTTACTAGATTGTCTCAGATTTAGTATATTAAAAAAAATCAAATGTAATAAAAAATGCAGTTTTCTCGTAAATTCCATTCTTTCCTATGCGTGTCAAAATGACCCGCGAGGGACACTTTTGTTACTTTTTTTATTGCACCCATTTAAACTCCTCGAATCCACTCAATTGTTTTTGTGTATTCAAAATATATATTTAATACAAATATGTATTCAAAAAATATTTTGGCAAATGTGACAAAAGTAAAGAAATCTTGGACCGGTACGATCAACACATGATTTTTAGAATTTTTTTGAAAATCATTTTCAGGTCAAAATGACCCGAGGGACCGATGAGGGTTAAATAAAACTGAAGGTGCTTTTAGTGTCACTCACTGGACATATCACTTTGAAAGTGTCACAAAACATTCGCAGGAAACATTTTTTTTTTATTGAAATGTTACCACAGGGACATATTTCCAATGAGCCTAGGTCGCAATACAATGTTTGTTAAGTAGCTTTGTCTGCCCTCTTACTGGACCTTTGTGGTGCCTCCAGCTTTTCGGGAGGCTCCTGGTTCACAATTGCACTTGCAATCAACATCACGCTTAAGATAATAATGAGTGAGGGTTGTTTTGTAAGGGTCTTTTATAGGTTATAGATGGTCAGGAAGGTGTATGTATGCGCTAGCAAAATAAAACTATACGTAATCACATGATAGCTCACTGCTGCACAAAAACCACAGCTAGGGGTACACGCAGGGGTGTAGCCATCAGTTCAGAAGTGAGGGGGACAGAAATGTTTATATATATATATATATATATATATATATATATATATATATATATATATATATATATATATATATTAGTGTATATAG